CCCCTGAAGAGTACTACATTCTGAGGTCTCTCTCTCTCTCTCTCTCTCTCTCTCTCTCTCTCTCTTTCTCTCTGTGTGTGTATGTATGTGTGCATTCATTAGGGTTTTTATTGCTGTGATAAACATCACGACTAAAAGCAACTTGGGAAGGACAGGATTTACTTCCCCTTATACTTCAGGAAACAGTCTACCACTGAAGGAAATCAGGCCAGGAGGTCAGGAACTCAAGGCAGGAAAGATACTACTGCCTTGTTCCTCAGCCTGATTTCTTAGAGCACTTGGGGCCATATGACCAGGGGGTCACACTGCCTACAATGGGCTGGGACCCTCCTACATCAATCACTAAGTAAGAAAATGCGCTACAGACTGAGGAAGGCATTCTCTCAACTGAGAGTCCCTTTTAGAACAAATGACTCTACCTTGTGTCAAGACAGGACAGTGTGGGACTGATCTCATCCTTCTGATGTTTAGATTCTTTTCAGCACCTCCCAGGGCCTCATATCTCACTCTGGCAGCTCCAGGATGGAACTTTCTATACACTCATCCCTGGGATGTATAGGAAACCTGCATCTTCCAGGTCTGCAAATTTTGTAAGTGTGTGTGTGTGTGTGTGTGTGTGTGTGTGTGTAAAAGCGTGCACTTGTAGGGAAAGGGATTGCTCCTCTCTGCCACCCCTCAGGTGCCATTTACCTTGTTGGTTTTAACACAAAGTCTCTCACTGGGACCTTGGACTTGCTGACCAGGCTAGTCTGGCTAGTCATCGAACCCCAAGACACTGTCTCTGCCTCCCTTGGGCTGGAAATTGCAAATGCATGCCAATACATCCAGCTTTTTATGTGGATGCTTGGGGTAGAACTTGGATACTTATGTATTCAAGCACTTTATGGCAAGCACTTTATCAATGCGCTACCTGTAGGGTCTGAAGCTTCCTAGGGTTTCAGCCCCGCTCTTCTGCTTACAGTCACCACAGGTCCCCTCCTAGACACATGCTTTTATCTCCTCTGTGGCTGTCTTTGTCCTTTCAGGAATAAACTATTTCCTTTGCCACATACCTGTCTTCTCACAGGGGTCTCCAGAAGGCCTAATAGGCAGCATAGGGGTCTGGTCCTTTTTAGCTGGGGGCTGAGACTAGCATTTGGTAAGTATCCACAAAGGCCCACGGAGATTTGTTGCTCCAATATGGGGGAGCCTGGAGGTGCTCCATTCTTCGGTGGAGCCCTGTGTGGCCCCTGACATTAGTGGGAACTGAGGCACATGGGTAGGTTGGCACACAACTAGCCATGCTTAGGGACCCATGTTGATTCCTGGGAGGAACCTAGTCCAGTCTTCTGAGTGTTTTGGTATAGCCACCAGACCACACAAAACCTTCAGAATTTGATAATGAAGACCTCAAAGTTCCAGCTCGGCCTGCAGCAGCTCCCGAGTTCGGCTCTTACCCTACTCCCAACTTGGCAGGAAGCGGCAGTGGCAGAGACCCGAGTGGAATGGGTAGAGCCCACTGAACAACTGGCTGTGCACCAGAAGGGGCCAGGGCCCTCCCTGCTCCAGGGCAGCTCTCCTGAAGAAAGGTTGCCCTGGACATATGCTAAGCATGGTAGAGGATGCTGTTGGGATGGCTGAGAAGCAGGACGATCTGCATTTGTGTTCTTTGGTGATATGACTGATCTCGGTGCTCTTGACCTGCAGATGCCCCAGTGCGTCGAGGCACAGGCTGCCCAGCTCAAGTCAGCAGCTAGTTGCAGGCAAGCTGAGAGGAACTGGTGCTCAGACTGACTGCTTGAGCGGACTCTACTTCTGTAATAGAGGCCCCCAAACATTGGGTGCAGAGGCCAGATATCCATACCCACATGTGTTCCTCCAGTCGGCATCTGGACGTCATTGACTCTATGTTCTCTGGGGCACACACTTCTATGGAGTGCTAACCCTTGAGCAGGACTCCCAGAAATTCCTCCCGAAACCTCCCTACCCCCACAACCATGTGTTTATGCATATGGAATCAAAATGTGATGCTTAATAGCTAATTGGGAAAGATGGATTCCAATCCAGCTGGTTTATTCTGATTTAGGGAACGGTATGGCTCACCACCGAGCATCTTGCAATTCATAAACATCACAGAAATGCAGAGTAAACACTGACTAGAATATTCCCGAAAGCCACTAACATATGCAGGGTGCAGTGCAGCCAAAGCCAGCTAACATCTGCACTGACATCCATTGCTGGCCAGCTATGAGGGACCAGAGTCCCCACCTGGGATCCTCTAGCCCTTTTCATTTAGGTCCCCTGGATGTCCTGCCGGCGGGACTAGTGGAAAACAGGAGTCTGGGAGCTGTAGAAGAGGAAGGGAATCCCACCCCTTGCCCCACCTCTAAAAACAATGTATCGTAGAAAGGAAGGGGTGTTGCTTCCATGCCCAAGGAGAACCTTCAGCATTCACTCCTCACCTGGCTCAGTGCAGATGGATGCTCACAGGGCAAAGTCTAAGGGGCAACTCCAGAGGCAGCAGGCTAGCCCAGAGGCTCGTTTGTCTCCCGAGTCATCTGGGCCATGGACTTCCCACTTTCCACAGTGACACTCATCTCACACAGCACCACTGTGCTTATGTGGCCGTAAGTGGCACTCGTTCCGGTGACCCGAGAAGCATTCTAGTATTTTTATGACCTTTCTTATTCCTTTTACATGCTGATCATGAGCCAGTAAATTAATTTCATGACCCACTAATGGGGTGGTGACCCACGCTTTTGAGAAGCAGTGATTTCAGAAATGCGAACATCAGCATGCGCCTGGGGTCTGGGCTGAGCTAATCAATGGATCCATTTATCACACGTACTTAGGAGGCCCCAGGAGGGGACAGGCTATAGGATCCCCAGACCCAGCTAAATGCCTGTGAATAGCCCCTCCACTTGGGTGACACACAGAGAAATATAATCAGCAAGTGACACCGTGCTAGGGTTAGGGTGTCACAGAGGTGTATGGATGTAGAGCTGGTATAGCTGGGGTGCAGAGTGGAGAGGGGTCTTGGTTGAAGGGAGGTTCTATCTGGGATGAGTGACGCTGGAAAGAAATTAATAGCCATTACGTGGTCACCAGGCTTCTTAATATAACATGTGACAACTGACATCTTGGAAAAACAATTTTCCAACAATTTATGGTGACACGTGGAACCTATGCTACTAATTTACTCTATAAGAGGCCTTGAAGCAATTACATAGTATAGACTTTAATTATGTTGTTAGAGACAGGGTTTCTCTATGTAGCTTTTGAGTTTGTCCTGGAACTCTCTCTGCAGACAAGGCTGGCCTCAGACTCACAGAGATCCACCTGCCTCTGCCTCCCAAGTGCTGGGATTAAAGGTGTGTGGCACCACTGTCCAGCTAATTGTGGTTTCTTTAGATCTGGCTTGAGAAGCAACATTTTAGACAGCTTAAAAACACGTCACCTTAGGCTAGAGGTTCCAGTACGAGTTGGGTCTCATTTTATAGACTCAAGGACACCATGTGGACTAGACTGCAGAGCTATACAGCTCCCTTCTTGCTTCTGAGGGGGTAAAGTTGGCTCAGGAGTTCCTCACACCCACCCAGTCCACTGTGGTGTCCAACTGCAATTACACATGTCCTTAATTTCCCATCCCTTCCAAGTGTGACTCCGGCAAGTGGGGAATACACCAAGCCTAGGGCTACATCTGGTCCCCAAAAGGACACAGGCCAGGAGTTAAGAACATCTAGCCCTGCTGTGACTCTGCACTGAATCATGGGGGGGGGGGGCACTATGGATATGCAACTCCTTTCTTGGCACCAGTTTTCACCATTGTAGCACTTACCCAGGTGGCCGAATAGCTTGGGATGTAGTTGGGGATGCTAGGCCTTATACAGGAGACTAAGCTGGGGCACTCGGCGAGCCTTCAAGCATCTCTCTGCATGGTTATGGCTGATGGAGCTCATCACTATCTATTATCTCATCTCATACCTATCTGTGGCCCCTGCCTGGGGCATCTTGGGAGCTCAGGGGGTCAACCTGTACCTGTGGTCTTCACAAGGCAGAGGCAGACATAGGGCAGCATCCTATACCTGTGGCTTCCCCCTCCATACACCTCTACAGGCGTTTCAGAGCCTAAGTCTCTTTGAAGTGTGCTTGATTCTGTGTCCACTCAGCCCAACAGGTTCCCACACTAACCCCGAACAGGTCTCACCCAGCCTTGTTCTCAAAGAAGCCAGTGCTAAATGACCAGTCACTGACCTGAGGAGGCTTACCCATCTGTCTTGCCCACTGTCTTTTCACCTCTCAGTTGCATATCACAGATGGATAACTGTCTGCAGTGCCTAGGCAGTATGTGGAGCCATCACACCTCAGAAATTTCAAAGAACGGGCAACAAGAAAAACAAAAATCAGAGCATCCCAGAGTCCTCTGTATTCAGCCATCTGTGGAAAGAGTGGCTCTGGAGATCAAGTTGGCTGTGGCCTCCAGAAAGAGCTTAGTGTGCATGGCTCGATAGGATGAGCGGGCTGAAGTTTAGGGAGCCATTGGGGTCTGTTAGCAGTCACCAGATCATATCTAGGGCAGCAGCAGAACCAGAGGTAGCCCCCTCCCTAAACCTGAATCTGGATTCCACTTGGCCTCAGGTGGGGTAGAGAAACTTGCTCTTAGATTTTGAGGTGCCTGATGTACTTCCACATCATCCCTCCAAAGTAAGCAACCTCGGTGCCAGCAATATGCACTGAGCAATATGCACTGTGTTAGCTTCTCTTCTGAGATGACCAACCCAGCTGATCAGTCTATGGGGTTCTGCATTCTGTGTCATAGTCCCCGTGTACCCAAAGACCAATTGATTAGGGACAGGCTCTCTGGGACTCAATGCCAGAGGGTGAGGAGGAGCTGACTGGGATGGAATTACCAGCTGCCACTTGTCCCTGTTTTATCCCGAAGTATCCACATCCATCATGGGGCGTGGTGTCCGCTCACTTCTCCCCCAACATGTCCACAAGAAAGGAAAGGGGCCACATACCGTGGTGGTCTTTATCCGCCCTCCGGGCTGTGTGCAAGTCCAGCCTGACCGGTTGATTAACAAGTCGCAGCCTTCCCCCTCCAGGCAGGGGAGCATGTCACACCACTGCTTTGTCTTGATAATTCGTGCTGTGGGAGAGAGCAGAGAGCTGATCAGTACGCCACTCCCAACACGCAGGCCTCACTGAATGGCTTGCCTGCTTCCTAAAGCTGGGCCTGGCACCTGGACCACACAGTGGGAAGTCCCATGAGCGGGTACTATGCCATTCAGAGACCTTCCACATGGAGGCTGGCCCCAATTGCAAGTAGTCACTGAGAGTGTCAGAACATCTTCATCATGGCACCATTCCCCTTCCCGAGGGGCAAATGCCTCAATCTTCTTTTCTGTTATAAACTGATAGGGCATGTCTTAGATCTATTGCAGGGGCACCCACAGGACAGCTTGGGTAGGACCAGGGCTCAGTGTCAGGAGTGAGGCCTGATAGAGAGTCAGCAATTCTATAGGAAGTATGACCCCCAGTTACCTCTCATCTACAGACACAGACCTGACTCAGGACTCTGAGACTGCTAGGCCTAAGTCTTTGAGCCCTGGGGCCTGCAGGGGTCTAGGGAAGAGCTGGAAGTGGGGAGGTGGTCACAGTGTCCATCTGAACAAGACGTCAAAGCCTAGACATAAGAAAACCACCCTTCTCCTTCACTGGAAACCCACCCAGGTTTGGTGGTCAGGCCTGGTAGACACAGAGGCTGTGAGAAGCTTATGAAAAAAAGAGGTTCATAATGGAGTTGGTATTCTTATTACCAGAATCTTCCATGACCTGTTCACCTTGCTAACCTCCTTCCTGAGGCAATTCTAACAACTGTTGCTTCATTCAAACGACCCATAAACAAGGTTTGTGGTCCCAGTAACAGCTAAGTCTTTGAGATGGTCAGTCATGCTCAACATGATGGGACTTATGTTCACCTAGGAGATGGTGGAGCACACCCATGGGTGTCTGTGGGGGCTTTTCCACAAAGGCAAAGGGGGCTGACCTACCCTGAACACGGGAAGCATCATGCATGGGCTGGGTACCCGAACAGAGTCAAGAACAAGGAGAAAGTCAGCTTAGAACGGGCCTTTTGTGTCTACCTCCTGGTGTGAGCCATGCAAGCACGGGCTAAGACCCATGAAGCCGAGAGCTAAAAATCAACTCTTCATCCTGTTTCTGCTAGGTATTTCATCACAGCAACGAGGGAGTGGTAAACACCAACACCTGTGGGCATTGTTGGAAGACTCAGCTATGCAGAATTCCACACCCAACTTTAACCTCAACACCAAAGACTGGAGTACACTTACAATCTTTCACGAAAAAGAAACCAAAAACAACCTGCAAAACCTTTGGGGTCTAGGGTCACAAAAAGACCAGACAAAGAATAGGCTCATGCCTCTGTTATCTGCCTGTTCTGCGACCTCCATGCCTAACATACTACTCCACACAGAGAAAGGCCTATCCTGTACTCCTCATGTCCACCCAGAGTTCACTGCCTCAGCTATGAGCTTGAGTTCATTCCCTTTGGACAGTAAGGACTTGTGCACTGAGAACCATCACATTTTCTGTTTGTTCCCCTCTTTCAGGAAGCCACATGCTGATTGGCCCCACAGCCTAGGAGGTGCAAAAAGCTGGTGGTTAAGCCTCAGGATTGGCCAACGCTGTTAGAGAAGAGCGTAAACCCCTCTGTCATCCTCACAAGACACAGCTTCAGAGACCTTTCCATCCCCAGGAAAGAGGGGACGACAGTCTCCACCCAATCCAGCTCCATCCCTGGTCCCCCACACAACCTTTCCAACTCCTGGGCTTCCTCTCTTCTCCTAAAATTTCTTTTCAATTTTGCTGTAAAAAAAATATCAATGCACAGGACTCCAGATTTGCCTAAATGAGAGGTACAATTCCGCAGAATATGTGTATTACAATTTCTCCCCACTTTCTCACAGTAAGGGGTGATAACTGGCAAGTAAATAGCTCTGCAAACACATACGAGCTTGGGTATCATGTACTCAGACACAGTCCTTCAACTGGGCAATTGGTGGGCTTCACTGCTTTGACAGAGTATGTGCCCATGACCTGGCAGAGGAAGGGTGCAACTGGCAGTGCTTTGCTCCCCATTTCTTGATATCTTGATTCAACCAAGCAGTCCTACAAGTCATTCTTCACAAAGGACCAGAGAGCTGGCTCTGGAGGCAGTGATGGCCCTGCACAAATTTAGCCAATGGGTGGCAAAGACGGAGGACGGAGTTCACACAGTGAAGGCTGGGCTCCAGGGTTACTACAAGGACCATGGGTCCGGAGGGCCTGGAATAGTTCGGAAGACATGAAGGCAGGCATCCTAGATAGATTGATGGGCATTTTGTAGCAGGCTTGACACGCCAGCAGGGGCTCCATGATGAAGTGCGTGTAGCATAGCAGACAGGAGTTTTGTAATTGACTAGCTATGCCTGCCACAGGCACTGGAAAGAATGCTACAGTATACGGTGCTTGCCTCACTCCATCCCGGGCTCTTTATATCAGTTGCCAGCAGCAGCCAGGATCCCAGGCCAACTCTTTTCACATTACTGCTAGAGATGTAATATAAATTTGTGTGCTAAGTCCCTGACCCTTGTATTTAGAGACAGGACCACACGGAAGTAACTGAATTCAAACAAGGACACAGGATGAGTTCTGAATTAGAAGGATTAGTGGTCTTACAAGGGACCCAAATAATACCCTCCCCCTCCCTGCTTCACAACACACCACCAGTGAGGACACAGCAAGAAGGCAGACTCAGCAAGCTACCAGCCAGAAACTGGTCCTGCAAGTATAGTGGCCTTGAACTTCCAGCGCCCAGAGCTAAAGTTAAGCCCCTAAGCTGCCTGTCTGAGGCATTCTGCTATGGAAGCCTAAACTGATGGAGTGAGGCCTGCCCCATGCTTACATGAGTCATTCTGGAGTCCCCACGAAGAAGAGACCTTGCTCCCTCAAGGGTGGGGGGGGGGGGGACAAAAAACAAAAACAAAACAAAAAAATCCCTTGGCTTCCTGGGGGAAGGCTTCAAGAACAAAGGCTACCCGAAACTGTGACCCCACCCACACCCCAGGCCAGGGGTATCCCTAGGCTGAGGACATTCCAAAGAGCTAGGTATCACCCAAGCCACTCTCCTGGGATCCTACTAATCACACAGCACAGGTGGCTGGTGGGCAAGCAGAGTTGGCTTCTGTCACACATCTGTCTCTGGCTGTTCATTAGTTGTGCAAAGTCACCAGCAGCTGCTTCTCCCAGCCCTTATGTGTCATTTTCGGTGACAGCAAAAGATGGTATGAAAACCTTCTCAGGCACCAACAAATGTAAGCCCGAAAGCCTGAAATCGGCTGCCTCGGGATCCACACCCACACCTCAGCCCCCAACTCCTGTTTGCAGTGCTTGAGAACTTTCTCAACTCTCTGTCTGTCTGTCTGTCTCCCCCTTTCCTTCCTCTTTCTCTCTGCCTTCAGCCACAAAAGGATGCAAGTGATAGATCAAACAGTGCCATGAGCAATGTCCCTCTCTGCACCAACCTGTCCCGATAAAGCCGCTCAGAGAGGGGTTTGCAGGTTAGGGAACCATAGGCTTCCAGTTGCCTTGTCTCTGCCTGCCTAACAAGTCAAGAACAGAACTGGTTGTGAAGGAAAATTAAGCCTCCAGCTACTAGAAGAACAGCAAGATCGAAGACCAACATATCTGTCACCCAGAGTAGGTCCTGAGGTGATGTAGTGTGTGAACTGGTTAGGGTAGGGTGGTAGCACCAGTTGCGGCCTGCCTGTCGGAAGGATGTACCAAGAGTGTGTGGGCTTTGGAAGTAGGGAATGGCTGGTGGGCTAAAGGTCTCTGGGTCTCAGTTCAGATCCCATCCTATCTTGTATCAAGACTACTTTCTGTGAAACACACATAGGGCTTCTGAGCCTCCTTCATCCTTTAACATCTGGGTAAAAAGTGGGAAGAAGGATAAAGCTTGTACTCTGCTGACACTGGGGAAAGCCCATACCCGACAGGACAACATACACAGATATGCACAGGACAGGAAGAGAGTATCAAGGTCCTAATGAATGGCCTTAGGTTATGGGAGGGACAGAGCTTCTGTCCAGGCCATATGACATACACATCCTCATGAACATACATGTGTGCAGACATGGGTGTGCACATAAAATACATGAATACAAACACAAGCACATGGTATATATTTCACATGGTGTAATCACAATACCTATCAACATAAAGCAACCTATGTGGATACACATGCAAGCAGAACACACATTCATACATGCACTCACATATGTAAACCTAAGATATCCACCCACATGTACCTGCACCACACAAACATATTCACACACTGCATATGCATGTATAAATCCGCACATAGACATACCACAAATACACATGTTTAGAATAACATAGATACACCTACACAGGTGGATATGTAACATACACATAAACACACATGTATGCACACCACACTATACATGCATACATACATCATGCACAAGTGCACACAGATACGCACATATGCTTACACATGCACTCAGAGCACATACACAAGTACTCACAGATATATGCACCATGGATCTCAAACATGTGCACATGCATGAACAATAAGTACACACATGTAAATATATACACATACTCAGACACCACACCATGTCACACATATGCATATCTACACCCGTGTGTGCAAGGATATAAGCACACACAGCTAGGCTGTGTCGTTGGCTGGTCTGTAGCAGCACACAGACAAGCAGAGCCTGGGCATACCCGGGGACCAAGCCTCTGAGGACACTGAACAACACTGAACACACAGGTCCTTTTGTTCGTTTGCTGGAACTCAGCTCACCCAGCCCAGCCTACTTCCTGCTGGGGGCGGTGGGAGAAACAGTGCCGGGCCAGCACCAGGCTACCACATCCTAGGGACAAAGGGGCTTTTCATGCCTCCACTCCACAACTTCATCTCACCCAGAGCATGGGCTGAGCTGGTCCTTCTCTGGCCCCGTTGGCACAGAGCTCTCAGCACAAGGGAAGGACGTCCATAGGGACTGATGGGCACTCTTAAGGAGTGTAAGTGAAAGTGGTCAGTGGCCCGAGTTTGGG